TACTAGGAGCAAGTGCATCGCTACTAGTAACAAGTGCCTTACTAGTACCTAGACCCATTGGTTCAGAGTAATTATTCTGCTGCATGCCTTTTATTAATAATTTGGTCTTTCTTGTTGAATTATTCTCCCAGGTCGGTTGTTATCGTTCTTGCATGGTCTTGCACGGATATTATCGTATTTCAGCCCTAGATGGTGTATTTCATGATTTTTTTTGCATTTTGATGCTCCTTCTTGAACATGCACCCGCCAAGAAATTACTTGTCAACAGTGGACCGCCAAGATATCATGTTGGTTCTTTCACGATGAGATTGCCACATCCAAACATGTGACCTTGTGCATGAAATGCCCAAACCTAAGACCACTGGATTGTGATCAAAAACTGCATCTTCATATCCTCCAATTAAGCCTCAAAAGGCCTCGAACGGATATTATCGCAGAAAGAGTAATTATTCTGCAGAAATTGAATTATTAATAATTGCCCTCAAGAAGAGTAGTTTCTCTTCAGAGGTAGGTCTAGGTAGTAACTTATCAGAGCAATGAACTTACGACTTACGACACCGGGTTGGGCACTTTCACCTCCCCAACACGTTGCACCTTTGACATGGGGTTGGAACAAAGCGGGCAGATTTGCAGCAACACCTCTTGCAAAGCATCAGCAGGAACCCCAATCTTCTTCTGCACCCACACATTTCAAGTGATAATGATGCCCTTGTTACTAGTAGTTTCTTGCTCCTAGTAGTAAGGCCAGGAGCCCCTAGTAGCTTCTTGTTACTACTAGTAAGGCACTTGTTACTAGAAGCGATGCCCTTGTTACTAGTAGTTTCTTGTTCCTAGTAGTAAGGCCAGGAGCCCCGTTCGTAGCGTCCGATCGCTCCGCTCATAGCGGAAAAGCGAACCGATGTTTCACTTCAGTTTCCGGCCGGTTTCGGCGTATGAAGTCAGCTGGGAGTTTTGGGAGAAGCCCTCAAGGTCAGCGTGCGTCAATTCCCGAACGGTGCCCTTAGCCCTTTCGCGCGATTTCACGTCTTCAAGCATCTGAGCAAACTTGGAGCCCCAAGGAAAAAGAAAGCTATAACTTTTTTTTATTTTCTGCTATTGCTGCCCTTTCAAATCCTTACTTAATTATTCTATTACTACTAATACTGCTACTACTGCTACGAATACTACTAGGTTTTTGTGGCGGGGATTCTATTCTTGCTCCCTTGATTGTTTGCTAGGGGGGACGAGTTTTACTATTTAAGGCCCAACATTAAACTTGCCAAACACCTCCATGTTACTAAAAGCACACGCAGTCTTCTCATACCTCACATCTTTTTTCGCATGCTTCTTCTGGGCGTTCGCGGTCTTCGCGCAATGTGAACCTCAGCATCGGGGCTCAATCGCCTTTGGAGCTCTTGGGAGAAACGGATCCTGCAACCTGTTCCTGATGTCTGGTCTTTGACTGTCCTGTCATTTCCCCATGGACCGCAACGCCAAAGCCTATAACTATAACTGTCAGACAATTGAAAGCCTCAAAATACATGTTAGACGGTATTACACGATAAGTTATACAAAGCAATCTGATGTAGTCCAACGTATTCCATGTCCGGGCCCGCTTCCGGAGGTCGAGTCACGTCCTCAACTCGGTGCTCCAGAACGAAGGAGTCGAGGTTCTCGTCCGACTTCTCCTGTCAAATGCTCACCTTGTGGAAACGTAGGCCTAAAAAACACAGAAAGGAAGAACGTAAAACACAAAAACTCGAAAAATAATCGCGTTGAATACATTAACTTGAACATGGCGGCCTTGGAGGGTGTCTGAGGCATTTCGCTCAAAAGAGGACTGCGAGGTGTCGGCGAGCATGAGGATGGAAGCTGCACGCCTTCCACTGGCTGTTGAGCCTGGGAAGTAATGGAAGCTTGTTCGATGACATGATCACAAAGGCGGCTATGAAACCGAAGCCACCAACAAAAACTATATATATAGGCCGCTTTTGAGGCTTCGAGCTATATCTTCTTGCAATCCTATCAAGCTCTTGCATTCCTACTATTCAATATTATTCATGACTTGCTACAGTGGCAAACATTGAAGGGGCCGGTGTGGGATCATTGGTCGGACGGCATGGGTCGGTTGGCCTGGGTGGTTATTTTGCAAGGAACAAAACACCGAATCCTGCGGAACAAAAACACGCACCACATTGTGGGCCCCACACTTCTGGATAAAATGTCGTACCATATTGGTACATTATGGCATTATGGTACATTAGGTTGGAGGCAACGAAACAAGAAAAGGAAGAAAGGTCTAGGACGCTAGATTCTGTATCCGTGCAACATACACACGCGCGTATCAGCGTGCTCACATGGCCTCGACCTCCTGAAAGTCCATCCAATCTTCTTGAGCTCTTCTTCCTGCTTGTCCATGTGATTTGCTACAAAGTAGCGTCCTAGCTCCTAGTAGTAAGGCCAGGAGCCCCTAGTAGCTTCGTCCTGCTTGTCAATGTGATTTGCAAGTTCAAGATCTTCGGCGTCGGCCCGCATCTCCCGCCTCCACATGGCGATGCACTCTCTGCAAAGCTCAAGTCCTTAGCTTGACATGCAGAGACATGCATGCATTCTGACAGCCTGTCATTTGGTAAGATGTTGCCTGAACCTTGAAGTCTGGTGAAAACTCTGGATCATCCAGTCAAGGCTCCGCCAGCTTCTCAAAAGGTTTCCTGCCACGAGGAATCGAGTTGGCATCACTTTCTGTCACCAATGGATTTGATACGGCTTTTCAAGCGTTCTTGATAAAAACTGTGACTTCTTACAACGCACAACGTCTGACTTGCAGATTCCTGGAAGCAGCAGCTTGTGCACGAGCGCACTGTCGCTCAAGGGCAGTGCACCGCTGCTGAAGCTCGCTCAGCTCCCACTCAACCTGACAAAGTGGAATTTCTCAACGAACAAAAATGAGCAAATGCAAATGCACTCAACTTGCAACTGCATTTTGGTCATTGGTAGTCTCTGCATGTTGCGTTGTACATGTTCTCAAGTCAAAGAAGGATTGGGATGCACATATGGCTGTGCTGTGCAAACCAGATTACTGGCCGACTCCCAATCCGTACATGTTCCCACCTCGCTGTCTGTGGTGTCCACCAGCTCCTCAATCGAGTGAACGGACATATACAACATACAACATATTTCTCATAGTACCCAACTATACCCTCTCCTCAGGGCACTGTGCCCTACTATCTCCTACTTGTCCTTAGCATTTCGCAAAGGAACGCCAGCATCGGTGTCAGGTGCATCGATTGTCTTGCGAGCCTCGACCTCATTGTCGAGGATACGAAGCTCTGCAGAGAGCCTGAGAAACAAAAGAGGAGAAACAAACAGAAACCTTTTTTTTCTTCTGTGAGTCTTTCTTTTCTTCTTTCTTTTTCCTCTTTAGACCGTTCTTGTGTTGTTTGTTCCCCATCTTTCCGCTTTCTTTCTTTTGGCCTTTCAACCTTTTCCTTCTTTGTCTTGCTGTCTATTGTTTCTCTATCGGTTATTGCCCAAGTGGCTGAGAATTCTCACGGTGGGCTTGGCTACATAAATCTCGCAGTGCATGGCCTTCTTGGAGCCTGGACAGCTTTGGATAGCAGGACGCTCCTGGCATCGCTACTAGTAGCAATGTTCGCTACTAGGAACAAGTGCATCGCTTCTAGTAACAAGTGCCTTACTACTAGGAGCAAAGGGCATCGCTACTAGGACGCTACTAGGGGCACCTGGACAGCTTTTGCACGCAGGACGCTCCTAGTGGACGCAGGACGACGCTGGCAGATTTTTAGGGAAACACTGGTTCCATGCCTGGCAGCTACCCCTCCTCACGCTAAGCCTAGCTAAGCCCATTAGATCCCAGCCTTTGCGCCAATTCCGCAGCTGCTTCATCTCGCTGCAGCAAGGCTTCTTGGTGCCGCTGCTGCACAAGCAAATGGGCAGACTTCAAAGCTGTGACCTCGGGCTGGCAACTCTGTCCTCTCTAAAAAGGACACAAAACAAAAGAAAAGTCTGAAGACCACTATCTGAAAATAGGAGCAAGTAAAGAAAGACACGAGAAGAGACAAACAAAGGTCTAAAGGCAAAAGAGAAAGACTCACAAAAAACAAACTGAAAGAATGCAAACAACAAAGCAGCCAGTCACTGCACCACTCTTGGCTTTTGAAGTGACCACGTTTCCACTGTTTCCGCACCTCCTTGCCGAGTTCATCAGCGATTTGGGAGCTCTCTCCTTCCTGAAAAACACATACACGCGATTATGATTACACGTGAGCTTGATTCGAACGTGTCAAACGCGAGCGTCCTTAGCTGCTGCCATTCTTTGTAGCGCAGCCTCTGCCTCCTCTCGAAAGGATTGATGCTCCTGCACTCTTGGTTTGACAAAGATTCAACTCTCCAGAAGAGAAATGAAACAAGTTGACAGTTTGTATGATCAACCTTTCCCTTTGTCTAGCAAACCTCTGATGTTTTCCAACGCTGCGGTGTCCTCGGAATGGAGCTTCTTCAAATGGAGCTTTTCCCTTGAGCACCTGCAAAAATTGGAAACAATTCAGCGATGTATGTGCAGCTGTGTTTCAACTTCCTTTAAACTCTTCGAAACAAGCTTTCTACATCCGTGGTAAAGTGCATAGCTAGTCGCCGCTGGGCCTGTCTTTGAGCTGATCCAAGTCTTGTCTTCGCTGCTGGCAGCTTCGCTGTGCAGAGCACAGCCGGTTTCGCACATCCTCGGACTCTCGAGACCAAAACATCACGTGCGATGTGCAACTTCCCTCACTCGTACTGTGCTTATTACTTCCATCTTACATCTTCTCTGAGATTTAACCTGCTAGAGCTAGAATGAGCTAGACAGCTTGGCAAGAAGTGGGTGAGGGAAGAAAAACTTGAATAGCAATGAAGTACTCCAACCTGCACTTGCACGGAGAGTTCTGAGAGCTCTGATGCCACCAGGGCCTCTTCTCTTTTCAGTTCCCCTGTCAGAATCTGCATAAATACATGATCGGTTCCATCATCTTAACATGATCTTTCTATATAGTTCCACAATGATTCCATCATTCCATCATGATTCCCAGCAATTTCAACGATGTCCCAACACCAAAGAAGGCCAGCCAAAGCTCTTACCTCTTCTTTCTTGCAATGCTTGAAGCTGTGGAGCATGCGATGCACTGGCATCAGCATGGGTATCTTGCAAGCCTTGAATGCTGAAGTTCACGACCCATGACAAGCTAGGACAGTTTCTGACAACTGCTAGCTCTTCTGATTGAATTCTTTCATTTCCCTCTAGAATGTTCTACAGATTTTCAGTCGCCAGTGGATTCATTAGTCATGGAGCTATGTTTCTGTCCGTGATGCATCCAATTGCAAGACATTCCAAGTATATCAAAGGAGGAGGAGGCGGGAGAAGAGCTCAATGGAGGCCATCGCTATTCGGTTGAAGGCCATTGCAATTGTTTTTGAGGTCCCTGGGAACCAATCTTTCTATTCTCAGGGAACGATGTAATCGAGTGGCGTCGCAGCTCTCGCTGAGCTGCATTGGAGGCGTCAGCCGCCTTTCTGGTCCGCTGCGTTGCACGTTGGATGCTGCGCTGCAAGCGTTCACAAAGAACTTCTCGGTCCAATAAGGTCTCCTAACGAGAAAAGGCGGAATGGGAAAACACTGCAAAGAATGACTGTATAAAATAGACAAGCAAAATCAAGCAAGTATATATAAATACTCTTTATACCACTACCTTGGAAGGTGACTCAATCGACAAGCCCATGCAAGTGTCAGTCCTTGGCTTCAAGCAGCACTTGTTCACTCTCTTCCAGCTGCAGTTGAAACCTGTAGCTGGCTTCGTCTGCACAACGGAAATCAACAGAGTATGACCTGCAAGGTAATTCCCGAAGAGGAATCCCCCGTATAGAAAGCTGCAAACAAGGCACAATGATGCTGCTTCGAGCAAACTCTTCAAGTAATTGGCCTGAGCCACATGTCTCTTCTATAGCAACAAGGGCATCGCTACTAGGAGCAAGGATGCTACTAGTAAGGCCAGGAGGGCCCCTAGTAGCGTCCTTGCTCCTAGTAGCGACGCCCGGGTTCCCAGTAGCGATGCCCTTGTTACTAGTAGCTTCTTCTTCCAAAAGTATTCATGTTTGTTTCTTTGCGCAGATTTCCACATGCACCACTTCAGTCTTCTAGCGCCTCCACTTTGCTCAGTGATTCCCAAAAGCTTTGCTGTCCTGCAAGCTTCTGGACAGACATAGCACAAACTGGAACAGGTTTCATTGATGATCCCTATCCTGACATCAGTCGTGCTTGGCTACATCCAAGAGCTTTTCCAAGCACTTGGAAGCCATTGCTCGAGTCTAGGTGTATTGGTAGGTCTTGTTTTGCTAAGAACTATAATATGGTTTGTCTCCGATGAGGCAAACAAATACTGTACAGTCTGCTTGTCTTGCTTCAATACTGGTTGGAAAATATTCTCGCTCCAAGAACGTTCTTGTTACTGCATTTTACTCAGCGTAGGGTAGTGATGTCATGTCCACGAGTAGGAAGGGGCCAAACGGCTAAATGCGGATTGAAAATGGTTCAAATCTTCCAGCTTCAGGACGTGATACCACGGAGATTCGACTTATTTTCTTTTCTTCGGACGGCAAATTAGACTTGTTCAATGACTTGAGAGAGGAGGGGGTGAACGAAAGGTAGCAGGCAATCACAAGCAACCCTGGTAAAAGTCCATGACGGCGTGAACCGGCGGAGGGGGGATTTGATCCAGGGGGGGGGGGCCCCCCCCCCGACGAACAGAATCAACTCTTACAGGACCAAACTCAATGCACAATCCCAACTCCGGATTGTAATACTTTTTTGCTAAAGCAAGGAGAACTCAGGTAGCTCAAGCTACCTTTCGTGATCTGATATCTCAGCACTCGTTTTTTGCACGGCACATGATCCTGCGATCGAGCTCGGGTGTGGTTGGGCCTCGCGGTTTGAAAAATGAAGAGAAGGAAGGGAATGAATCGGGAATGAATGCGTGGATTTGCAACATCCTACGACCTACTACTTAGCTGTAGGACTTGATTGATCCTAACAAGAAGGCCAAAGAAAACCCATTTGCTACCAGTTGCTATGATATTCATGTCAATTCATGCGTTGTGGTTGAATTGCACTGATTCCTGATGAGTTTCGACGTGGGCTTCCGGCCAAGGCCAGTGTTTCTTCAGTCCATGGGCAAAGCAGTACGTCTCGACAATGCTCTCACGAAGAAGTCCATGCCAGTTCTGCGCGCTGAGCAGTCTTTGGAAGCCAAAAGCACTCACCGTCAGTGCGCATAAACATGACAAATATATCAACATAATGTGCAAAGAATGGTCCAAGCTACTGTTTCACACAATGGTTCTTGTTGGTTGGTGAAGAAAAGTGAGTTGTTCATACATTTTCAGCGCGTCTGCCCGCACCTCACTGCACGAGTGGCTACCCATTCCGCAGCAGTGTTCTTGGTCGCCTCAAATACCAGACCAATGCCAACAAACATGCAAGTGTGTCAGTTTGGATGGTTTTGACGTTTTGCCTAACAGACAACTAAGCAAAATTGATACGTCGGCTTGCACAAAGACTGCATAGATTAAAGACAGTCCGCTTGCAATGGTGACCAAATCATGCCATCGCTAGTAGGTTGGAGGCCATTGCTAATAGGTTGGAGGCCATGGCTATTAGTTAATCAATATATAAACATATATATATATATACAGTAGTTACTGCATTTCTACTTTTTTGCATGTAAAAACACAATGTATCTTATGTCATCTTATGTCCAAGACCTCCGCACCACGCTTCAGCGTCACCCGCATCGCTGCGGAAGCTTTTTGCCTCGCCTTGCGACAAACTATCAACATCCCCGAACTGCCAAAGCAGAGTGACCCGCCAAAGCACCCCTTGGAATGATCTATGTTATCCTTCTCAAGCCATTTGCAAGGGAATATTCATGGTATCCAAGATTTCTGGAAAGCAAAGGAAAGTTGAGGTCCTGGGCAGTTCCGGCAAAAAGAAAAAGACTCAAGAAAGCACGTTGCAAAGCTCTGCCGAAGTATGCTAAGTAAGGAAAGGACAAACATTTACCCAATAAATTCGGAGCTTCCTATACACATGGATACACACTAAATCTCACACCTGCAACTACAAGTCAGCCTTTTACCTTTCTATACTTACGAAAGGGATGTTCTACCAGGGTGGATGCGGGTAAGGACTGAGAGCATGAGCATATCATGTGTATGTTTGGATACCCCCACAAACAATGCCTTTCCCAAATAAAACATAACACACATTATGTCACTCTGATGGAGACCGTGAACATAGACCGGGTCACAACTACTGCTTGTGGCGAACACCCAGTCCTTGCTACTCCACGGCCAAAAAGATACAAAGGCTACAACATCTTAAGGTTTGTTTCTGCGTCCAGTAGCTAACTTAGCCCTCAATTACTTGATTAAGTAGGCGCCTACTTAGTTAGGTAGTAGGGCGGCAGAGCGGGCTGAGCAACCAAAGGAAACGTGTTCCGCTTGTGTGAGGCCTGGGAGCTCATGTGAGGGAAGAGGAAGATCACTCGATAGTCTGACTCCAAGTGCTCTCGCTTCTCTTGCCATAATGCAGTGAAGGACTGACAAAACCTCCAGCAAAATGCGAAGAAGATTGAACAAGTAACAAATGTGTTCTATCTACTGCAAACTTTGCAAACTTTATCCCTTGCTACTGCAATTGGCCACTCAATGAACATTGCATTTGGAGGCTAGGCTCAGCGCATGTAGCCTGGCAAGTCCAAAGCTTCGATTCAAAGTCACGTCACCGAGGCTGCCATTGAGTTTGCTTAGCTTGAACAAAGAGCAATCGTGCAATGCCCCCGACTCCGAGGGCTACACCTGCAACGCACCCCGCAGAGACAGCCAAAGGTACCAACGTGTCCACTGATAGCCGCCTTCATCCGGAAAATTCATCAATTCAATGCTTTTAGAGGGAACATCGAAGCTGCAAGACAATGGGAAAAAAAGTCCTTATAGGCTAGTACCCTTGGAGGCCATCCCTAGTAGGTTGGAGGCCATCGCTATTAAGTTGGAGGCCATGGCTAGTAGGATGGAGGCCATCACTATTAGGCTGGAGGCCATTGCTAGTAGGATGGAGGCCATCGCTCATATGCTGGAGGCCATCTCCATTAGGCTGGAGGCCATCGCTATTAGGCTGGAGGCTGGAGGCCATCGCTATTAGGCTGGAGGCCATCGCTATTAGGCTGGAGGCCATTGCTAGGCCATTAGGCTGGAGGCCATTGCTATAAGGATGGAGGCCATTGCTAGTAGGCTGGAGGCCGTTGCTATTAGGATGGAGCCCATTGCTAGTAGGATGGAGGCCATCGCCATTAGCTGGAGGCCATTGCTATTAGGATGGAGGCCATTGCTATTAGGCTGGAGATCATTGCTAATAGGATGGAGGCCATTGCTATTGGGCTGGAGGCCTTTACCGTCAGGCTGGAGGCCATCGCTATTAGGCTGGAGGCCATCGCTATTAGGCTGGAGGCCATCGCTATTAGGCTGGAGGCCATCGCTAGTAGGATGGAGGCCATCGCTATTAGGCTGGAGGCCATTGCTATTAGGCCGGACGCCATCGCCATTAGGTTCGAGGCCATCGCTATTAGGCTGGAGGCCATCGCTATTTGGCTGGAGGCCATCGCCTGGCGGGAGGCCATCGGAGGCTGGAGGCCATCGCTATTAGGGCTGGAGGCCATCGCCAGTAGGTTCGAGGCCATTGCTATTAGGCTGGAGGCCATCCTTTGTAGGATTATAGGAAGTATGAGTGCCGCACCCGAAGGACTGCGGCTGGACAAGGGTGTAAAGCACCAAGGGCAGCAAAGCGCCGGCAATGGCACCAAACCTTTGCACTTCAAAGGGCAAAATGAATGATTCAGCTGGCAAATTTGTTGATATGGATAAATGCATTGTCGAGAAACTTCCGAGTTACGCACAGGATAAGTATTGAATTATATTGTATGCGTACCAAAGAAAAAGGATGCACGAATGAATTGCTATTTTGTTGTTTCAGACTTTGGGCATCACACATTTGACAACACAATATAGTAGAGATCTACCCAAACCATATCGACACATGACACGGTATCTCAACACATCATCACCTCCATCTGCCGGGGAATACCTGGTATAGGAGTCACATGCATAATGCTTCTTTCAAAAGGCAAACAATCACAAATATCATTTGATGGTATTTGATGATTATTGTTTGTTGATGCTGTCTGTTTTTTTTGTTCATGGTGTTCCTACTTCCTTCATGTTCGGAATCGGAGGGGGGACCGGGAACGAACGATTCCCGCGGTGGCTGAGGCGTCCACTGTCTGAGCCAAAGGACCATGCCTCACCGGATTTCATTGCACTGAGCCCCAAGGTCCAAAGGATTGTGCAAAAAAGCAAAGATCGGAAGAATTGTCCAAAAATGTCTAAAGGATTCTAAGGGTCTGCAAAACCAAACACAAACAAGTCTTAGAACAAGTGAAAAAACACAGACCCACTACTTTGGTCAGTGTGATATGTTAGCCTCAGATTCTGGACGTGATGTTTTGATGCCTTTTCCTTGTGTCTTTCCTGTTGTCCTTGTCTTCTCTTTATTTGTGCCGTTCTATATGTTCTATACAATAAGCTTCTAGTAACAGGTGCATCGCTAGTAGTAACAGGTGCCTTACTAGTAGTAACAAGAAGCTAGTAGAAACAATATATAAAGTTATGTGCTGAAGACCTTTCCTTCCTGTCTTCTTTTCTTCGCCCGAAATGTCGTACCCAATTCCTGCCAAGCTGCAGCACCACCATGGGGTTGGCGAAACCTCTCTCCTGGCTCATGGGAAAATACAATGGCTTTACAACATTTTACAACTATCAGTTTGCAATTTCTAGTCCCTGTTTAGGCCTTACCGGTACTTAGGTCTTGTATCCGAGTCAAATGCCAAGCAACTCCACTCTTGGGGCAACTGGGGTAATCCAACATCAGTCGCAATAAGCAGGTTCCTCCGTGGCAGTTCCTAGGCCCCATGCAAACATGCGCAAGCAGTCAGTATTTGATGAAACAGGGCTGATTTGCAGGAAAGCCATGGTCCGCGGCTGTTGAACCACCGCCTCAGCAGAGATCACAGCAGCTCTTCAGCACAGCCTTCGATATCGTTTCAAGGTTCAATGCTGCACGTTGTGCAGTTCATCTAGGTTCCGAACGAATGCTCCCATCAGCAGCAAAGTGATGCCACCAATGAAGGCCTCACAAATGACCGTGGGATGATATTCCAGAGGTCTGCTCACCCTTAGGTTTTGCAAGCACTTTCCACCATCGAACACACTGAAACATTCCTTGCTATTTACCGGCTCTTACACACATCTTTAAAGCTACTAGGAACAACGATGCTACTAGGGGAGCAAGAAGCTACTAGGGGCTCCTGGCCTGGACGCTACTAGGAACAACACACTCACGTCGTTTTGATTTGATTTACCGGCTCTGCCCCTTCGGTTTTCGAGGCGAAGGTTCAGCCTTTCGAGCGCCCAGGAGGCGGAGAAGGACGGACCTTCCTTGGCCCGAAGCGAAGAATGCGGAAGCTTCGAAGAGATGCGACGGAGGTTTTTGAGAAAAACAGAAAGGCGTAGGTGCCAAACGCTGCAGCAGAACCAAAGCTCGCGCCTCTGGCAATTCAAGAAACACAAGTAGCACAGCAGCAGTAATAACCTGTAATGACTATTGACTAATATTCTTCTACTGAAGAAACTGACTGTTGCCATCTTTCACCTGTGCTTGCGCTGCTACAAGTCCAACAGCAAAGGCAAGGGTGCGGTACTCCACGAGCCTCCAAAATGCTCAACAGATCTGAACAGTCAAGCTGGCAAGAATCCGTTTTGTTTTAGCCCGCTCCTACTTGACTGGGAGTAAGCTCCTAGCTACGTGGAAGCTACATGACACTACTAGTAACCGGACGCAGGATAGCTCACGCTTCTTCAAGGAAGCTCCCCCTGCCTAAATGTATTAGGGAGATCAAGAATCAGCTTGAATCGAGATTTCTCCAAGTACCCGGCGTCGCTTGTGTGCTGGTGATTGGCGGCCCAAGCAGCCGCAATGCGTGTAGGCCGCAAACACGTCCCATGATCTCCTTTCCAAACTGTGGCTTCAATCCAAAGCTCTTCTTTTGGCGAACGGCAAAGAGACAATCTGCGAATGTCAAGTGCCTCTAAAACAAAGTCAATCAGAAGCCCAATCCACAGCCATTCTCGCCAGCGCGTCACCTGTTCGCGACCTGGGTGGAAACTTTACAAGGTTATCTCAAGATTATCTTGAGGCTTGCTTGACCTTAGCAGCTTATTCTATGTGTGATCAATTTTGAGACTCTAGGAACGCAGTGAAATCTAAACAAAGAAGAAGAAGCAAACTCTTCGCCTCCTAGTTTCAATGAGGTACCCTATCCAGACCCCGTCTGACCCTGTCTTCATCAAAGTCTTTTGCTCTTATACCTCAGGATCTGACAAGCAGCAAAGCGTGGTATAGGCTGCTGGTCCAGTGCAGCATCGTCACTCAAATCTCCCGCCCAACGCAAGTAGCCGCTGGCCTTGCCAGGAAGGCCCCAACAATTCTACACGTTTAAGGACAAAAAACATGGTCTAAATGAGTCTAAATGCTGAAGAACATAAAAGAAATGAACGAACAGGAGAAGAGAAGTGTCATGTCCTTACAGTGGGTCCCCTGCCAAGTTGAACACTCCGAGCAGGGCAAAGAATGGAGCCTGCGCGCTGTTTCGTTCATTGTAACAATGTAATTGTGATCTTCACGTATCTTCCTGTTCATACAAATCATCGCTACTAGGGGCTCCTGGCCTTACTACTAGGAGCAAGAAGCTACTAGCGGCTCCTGGCCTTACTACTAGGAACAAGGACGCTACTAGGGGCTCCTAGCATCGCTACGAATGGAGGCATCGTAGCGCCTCATGTGCTCCTTGAAGCACACTGCGCGTGGCCAGGCACACTGAGATGGCCGGGATCAATGTGTACAGCACAAAGACCAAAGTGGCCTAAGTAAGACAAGACCAGAGGGAGCATGGAATACGCTCATGGCTGTGGGCCGTGTGTATGCTGACAACTCTTGCTCTGAGTTCTGCTACTGGTATACTTAGAAAGTTCTCCAAGTTCTGCTGAACCTCAGGGATTTGGCTTGTGAGCAAAAACAAATTGAATAACATTGTCAAAAGAAGCACCAGCATCTAAAGAGCCCGACCCAGATTACTGCTAGCACACCTAAAACCTGGCCAGGCCAACAGCTTCAAGCTACGTTCCCTAGTGCTCAATTTCAACACACCTGCATGATCAAGAGCACACCAACAAGTGCCGCCAAAGGCAACTCCTGAGGCTCGAAACTGTTGCACAAGGACGCTACTAGGAGCAAAGGGCATCGCTACTAGGGGCTCCTGGCCCTGCTAGGAACAAGGACGCTACTAGAAGCAACTCCTGAAATGGCTCGAAACTGCTGCACTTCATTTTTCGATGTTTCGAGATGTTCGAATGAGTCTCCCACCATGCGTTGCGCCATGAGGGGATAAACTTTGTTGAATACGAAGCGTGCCGCAGACACAAAGATGGGCAAAAGCCTACAGTGTGCGGGAGACTACAAGAAGCCATGAACTCATCCAACCATTAAGCAACATATGTTCCTAGTAGCTTCTTGTTACTACTAGTAAGGCACTTGTTACACCATTAAGCAACATATATTTAAAAACACCTTTAAAAGTCTCAGCTCTCACTCCCAGTAGATTTAAGGCCTCGACCACAAGGCAAGCAAACCGATGACCACAGAAGGCCTCTCATCCATTGACAAAGGTCGGAACACCACCTGGGATGGATCAGGTGTCGAAGCTGTGACGAAGAAGCGCAGCCCTGAGGACAGAACAAGGGACACTTGGACGGGAGAAGTCGCATCAGCCACCAAGGTGTCATCTGTTGAGCAATCGACGAGTGCAAAGCTTCTTTGCACATGCAAATCTCGACGCTTCCCCTCCCAGTAGGAGCAAGGACGCTACGAACGGGGCTCCTGGCATCGCTACTAGGAGCAAGGACGCTACTGGGGGCAATCCAGACATCTGACCTGTTTCGCTGCTCAGGGCTGCTGCACTCTCGGTAGATGCATCCTGCCCAAAGGCACTGGTCTGATACTGGGCATCAATATGATGACTGTGCTATTTCTTCTGCTCGTTCTTCTCTACCTCACTCTGACAGTGCTAGATCATTCGAATCAGCATCTGCCTTTGTATTGCTTGCCAACAGCCGGCCAGCAACTTCCAGAAGGCCTACAACCTGCGGCTCAAGGCAGGGAAGTGTTGAAGCACAAGTAAGCACAAGTAGGCTTTCAAATGCTCGGAAATGCTGACTAGAACATGTGACACCAAAGTTGCCAATTAAATGTCAGCTCTGAGTGCATTCAGTCCATCTTCCTTCCCTTCGGCCTGTCCCGCTGTTTTAAAGCCTGTAGCACGGACGAACGTCTCCTGGGGCAATTACAGCTGAAACACTTTGAGTTGCAATGTGTCTTCAGTTGGGCCAACCACTAATATCATATATAGTATATCGCTAGACACTACACTCAATTGTTCCGCTGCAAGTTCTGCTCAACATGTCTCAAATGTTTGAGTAGAAAGCTGGAAGGCGCAGCATTGCATACTGCATGTTGCATGGACGGCATCCTGTCCTTTGCGAGAGCTCGGGAGACAAGGAGCGCCACTCTGCGGCTTGAGACAACGTCCTGCAAACAAGACTGCGCCATGCTACTAGAAACAAGAATGCATCGATTTGTGTTTGTCCTTTCTTTATGTGTTCTTTAGACCTTTAGACTAGCTTTAGACCATTATTTTCTTTTATTACTTAAAATATATCATATCATCATATCATATCTGTCTCTTTTCACTGCTCCTTAATGTTCCATGCTCTTTCAGCGTTCATTCCGCTCACCATTTCAAACTATCAAGCCACCAAGAGCCACCGAAGCAACAGCGCCAGCTCCTCTAGTCCAGCGGCCGAGCCAGGATTGCCAACAGCGTTGGGCTTTACGAAACCTGACGGGGGGGGCCCTAGTAGCGTCCTTGCTCCTAGTAGCGATGCCCTTTGCTCCTAGTAGCGTCCTTGCTCCTAATTAGTAGTAAGGCCAGGAGCCCCTAGTTCTTGCTCCTAGTAGCGATGCCAGGACCCTAGTAGGCTGAGCCAACTGATTCCGCTCGAGCAAATGTTCCATTGTGCACAGGGGTGCTGAGTAGCTCGGAGCAAGCCAAGCAAGCGCCACACTTTCTGCCCGAACCCAGCGCACAACCAAAAGAGTAAGAATATGTAAGAATCTTACTGATCCTACTGAGGAGCGCCCTTGCGCTTGCGGCTCACGTCGGGCTCCTCACGCAACTCTCCAGGACGCCAGGTCAAATTGAACCAAGACTCATCAGGACCATAGAGCCGCAAGAGCATAAACCAGGTCTTCTCCGGTATGGTCTGGATCCAATTGCTCTCTTTTCCTTCTGGTGCACTTGGCGAAAACCAAAGAGTGATGGAACCATCGGCATTCGACTTGATGTCTGGGTGTCGAACTGAATTCCTGCCTGGAGACATCTGTTCAGTCTGCAACATGGACCTATGCTGGGCATCGTAAACCACAACTGACCAGAAATCTCTTGCAGGCACATTGGGTGGCAAGGTCAATGAGTAGCACTTGCCTCCATCCAAATATCGGTGTTTCTCGTCGCGAGAAATTATTGCGTACTGAGAGCCCACACCTACCATCTTGAGAACCATCGCAGGAGTATTAAGAGTAGCTAAATAGAAGAATCTGGTCCTGGCATCCAAATTTCTGGCACCCTGGTCCAGCCATCTATGGTCACCACCCTCGAAAAGTGATTGCCACTCACTGTCCTCACCATACATCTTGCAAGCTGAACGTGGGGCAAAGCAAATCGCGCGGGCAGTGGCATTGCCAATGGCAACACCTTCTGTCAAAAGCCTCGTCATCCGCTCATCCGGTTTGAAGGGCTGTCCTCTCTTGATCCCGATGGCCGCCAGGTTCCCACGCAGCTCTGGGTCAAGGAACTCAATGGGTTCCCTTTGGATGACGTCATTAACCTCTTTGAAGAAGTTGAAATCATTGGAATGGATCGTATTCATCACTTTTCCCGACACGTTCAAGAATTCCATCTTTGGTTGGTTTCCAGCGCGCGACAAGGGATAGATTTTGAGACCCGCTTTCCACATCGCAGCAGCATGATCCGGAAGTCCGTCCTTCAAGAAACCTCGGTTCACAATGAAGTTCGTGTAGGTCGGCGAATGGAAAACATAATACCCGTCTGGCACTTTGCCATCGTAGCCGGGTGGGACAATCAAATATTTTCCTCCAGCTCCTCAGGTCGCGCAAGAAACATAAACCAAGGAACCGAAAGGAACCGATTTGAAACACCAAATTGACATGGGCGTACACTGATTACAGTGTCCATTTCTTCGCAAAATCCGTGCTTTCCGGATTCACCATACCAAAATGTGCAGGCAATTTTGAGTAAGGAGCAAGGACGCTACTAGGGGCGCTCCTGGCCTTACTAGGAACAAGGATACGAACGTAACAAAGGGCATCGCTACGAACGGAGCGATCGGACGCCACTAAACGTCCGGTCGTAGCGATGCCCGTTGTTCCGTTCGTGTCGCCCTTTTGAGCGTCTCTCGGAGTCACCAAACATGGTTTCCAAGAGACCATTCTATCGCCTTCGCTTCTGCCGAAACTGCATCGTTGTTCTACGCTACAAGAGGCCAGTTTTCCACTTTCCTTCGTCCTTCCATTTGCTTTTGGCAGGGAAAAATGGTTTAGGTTCGTTACATATGATTGCTTTCCTTTTTGTCAACCTCTTTGGGGGAATTGGGAACTGCATGCGTTCACTCCCCACAACGTGCCCTCAGAGTGTTCTGTTGAATTCCCGGCTGCTTGAATTAAGCGAAGCGAGGTGCAGTGTTAGAACTTGGAACTGTTACTCAATGACGTCTGGTGATCGTAATCCAATTGGCAAGAAAAAAAACAAGAACGACAACAACAACAACAACAGCAGCAGCAACAACCACAAACAAAAACATGACAATCCAGGGTCCAACGGGTCAGAACATGTCGCCATGTCCGGAATCAAACGGAATGAAACGAAGCCATATCCCTGTCCTTTGTCTGGTCCAGGCTTTCCCATATCTGCAACGAAGCGGAAGTACGCGTCATTCACGGTTCCCGGGCCGGCACCACCTGGCACTTCAATCACCGTTGGGCCATCTGTGCCCAGATTCAGGATTGATGCCACGTAGACGGTATCTGTGTTTCCCGTGAGAAAGAGCGACTTGCTGTCCATGAGCTTTTCAAATAGGATCACCTTGTGACAAGCATCACAACCGACCTCCACAAAGCCAACTCGCATAGCCTCAATGGAGGCCATAGGTATCATGTCTAGAAAAGCATGCATTGCCCGTGATCGGTCCAAATTGTCATAGACCTTCTGGATCGTCTCATCGTCCGGGAGACCATCGTGAAACTTCAGCTTCCCAAGGCTTGTGTCATACTCATCTTTTGTGATGATGCCTTCTGGAACCTTTCCAAACGCCATGGCTAGGCGGCTAGGCTCCAGGGTCAAGAAAATACAAGTTGAGCCAAACTAGGCCTCGAGTGATCTATCAAAATAAATCATTTCAATAAATCTATCAAATAGAAATGATTGTTGTCCAGAAAAGCCCATGGCATGGCACTGAGGGCGCCTTGCTGAGAGCTTGCACTCCCACTTCCAGAAGGAACCTTGCTGAGAGGATGTTGCACTACTGACCGGTCAATCACCTTGAATAGCTGGTCTCTTTGGCCTACCGGTTGGAGGCCATCGCTAGAAAAGTACCTCTTGATTTTTTGTGACCTGCAGTCATCTGCAGTCGTAAGACGTGAGCACTGGATCCTAGCAAAACTGAGACTAGAGACGGCTGGCACTGCGGGACTGCCACCACCCGCTGGCACCAGGCATGTGAGGATCAGCGCTTGCCTTGCTTTCCCAAAAGAGCTCACATTTAACTGAGCACCCACAGCTTCATGCAAAAGCCATCCAAGAAAAGGGATGCCAAAGTGACAGGATGCTTCAGCTTCGGCTCTTTCTGCAGCGGCAGCAAACTGTATATGGAACAAACCAACCCGGCTAAGAATTAACAGAAGGAAGAAAGAATCAGGGCTCCACGGATTCCAATGCCCCAAATCGGTATGCTTGCGATTCTGTATATTGACATGATCGGTCCAAGATGATACGTTGACTACCCTTTGCTACTTGAAGTACGGCCTTTGCTATCCGAAAACGGCGGCACCGCCCGAGTGCATCCAAGCTTCGTTTCAGGGCTGCGGGTGTCGTGGCCATAGAGATGGGCCACCAAGGCGCAGCGCCGAATGTTTCGCCAAAGCCTCGACATGAAACGATTACGTAGTAGGCATAGTGACTCTATAAATATACTTATATATTATGTGTTTAGGCATCTTGAGAGCAAAGAAAAAACATCGCAGATTGGCAGGATGCATGGGCAGATTGGCGAAATGTCAAAGTGTGTAGCCTACTGCCTGCAGGGCCTGCAGCAGTGCAGAGAAAAACAATGGCGCAAGTCCACTGGACCTGCACACCTTGCTCCAAGAGGCTCGCGCAGCAGCACTGTGGAACAACCAACTACGGGCACCTATGGCAAAGCATGGTGACTTTCCGGCACTCATGGACTGCAACTTCTTGACAGGCTTGCTCAACAGGCTTAACATGCCTCAAAGTATCACGTTAGTTTGCCCAGGTCATGCCTGTTGAATGAGGAAGTCTGGCAACTTGGAACGCCAGGTATCATCATCCTCGATCCGTGCTGCAGCCTTTACAGCTGCATTGCCTTAGATTTGCCAAATGCAGTGTGCCGGAGCAAGAACGCTACTAGTAACAAGGGCATCGCTACTAGGAACAAGGACGCTACTAGTAGATCCTGGCCTTACTACTAGGAGCAAGAACGCTACCAGTGTGCCTATAAGTGCCACCTTTGAACTTCGGTCAAAGCACCTGCTCGGTGCTTAACATAGAAGCACCTAGTGGCAACTATAGTGCTATGACCTGTCATAACCTATTTCTGTCCTTCTTTTCTTTTATTTTCTTTTAGACCTTGAGACTTCTGCTTTCGTCCTAGGCCTTCTTTCTTTAGACCTTTCTTTATTTATGTTGTTCTCGCTTTTCTTTTACTTTTCCTTTTCCGCTAGGCCTGTTTTGAGCTAAACATGAAAAAAATGATATTACAGTAAATATGCGATTGCCTTGTTTTGCTGCCAAGTGTCGATCATTTCGATGAGTGTGCAGCAATTCTTCTGCCTGCTCTGCGACTGAGGGGATCCGCACTGACGGTAGTCGCACACCAGCTGTGGCCTGAGAAATGAGGCATTCAGCAATGAGGCAATGAGTTTAGGTCGTCACAGCCGTGCCTGGTCGATTGTGAAGGATAGGACTGATTCCAACTTCTTCGAGAAATCCTGCACTCCCGAACAATCAGTCAATCTGTGGATCGGCATGGCCTCCAACCTACTAGCGATGGCCTCCAACGTCGTTCAATCGGCTGTGGAGACATGGACACCGACTCCGCAGAGCCCTCCTCCACCGACTCCGCAGAGCCGACATCTGGTGGGCCAGCCTTGGGTGGCGTCATGTGGCGTCACGACTCTGGCAACGGTCCTCTGCAGGGGGACTACTGGTCAACAAGAATCGAGTTCTTCTCTAATGAAGATGTGGGTTGTGACGAAGTGAGTTCGAAGGGCCCCATGAGTACTATGACTCAGTGACTTGTGTCTTTGCAACATACACACAAATGGATTTTATGGGATCGGAGGCCACTGCCATCAGATATGTTTGAAATCTCGCAAGAGACTCTTGAAAGCTGAGCCCACTGAGCCTCCCAGCAGCCAGTGGTGCCGGTGACTCCTCATTAACTCCGACGCTGAGCTCAACCTCAATCCAAGCGTTTGGAGAAAGTGAAGATTTTGGGAGACATCTACACAGACCAACAAAAACTCTCCAGGACACTCTCCATTCTAAATAAAGATACAGCCAGACTCTTGCAGACTCCAGTAGTATGGGGCCCATGTTGGACGTTAAGAGCGCTAGACAATTCTGTTCCTTTGGCAAAATGACAATATGACCTTACAGTCCTTTTCTCCTTATCCTTGCAATTCCGTGCACACCTACCATGCATTTGACTCTAGATGAGTCCTCAAGCTTCATGCAGGGAGTGAGGCATATACATAGTGAATAAGCCATGAGAAGCGAATGCCATGGAAAATGGTCCCTTCGAACTTACTGGACTGACTTAAGACTTAGTAGTAGCAAGAAGCTACTAGTAACAAGGGCATTACTAGTAACAAGTGCCTTACTAGTAGTAACAAGAAGCTAGTAGTAACAAGTGCATCGCTAGTAGTAACAAGTGCCTTACTAGTAGTAACAATGTTCGCTACTAGGAACAAGTGCATTGTGTTCAACTTGTGATGTGTTCGTGCCATCCCGTGCCTCGTGTCCGTGCTCGTCGGCCAAGGTCGACATGGGCTCGGACTTCTCAGACCACTTGGTGACGCCACCCGCGGCCGTGACGCCCCTGCAGCGGCACAGAAACAGCTCCGAAGCTGCGAACTAAACTCTCAAACGAGGCTTCCTCTCGTCTTACTAGGAACAAGGATGCCATTAGGAACAAGTGCATCGCCACTAGTAACAAGTGCCTTACTGGTAGTAACAAGAAGCTAGTAGAAACGATATGTAAATAGGAACAAGGACGCTACGAACGGGGCTCCTGGCCTTACTAGGAGCAAGGACGCTACGAACGGAACAAAGGGCATCGCCACTAGGAGCAAGGATGCTATTAGGTTGGAGGCCATCTAGGGGAAGCCTCTCACGACGGGGCAAAAAGGGGAGCTGGTTTGGTGAGAAGGAACAAAACAGCCAGAAGAGAGGAGCCTGAGCTGCAAGGTGTAGGTTGTCTCCTTTTTGAGCTGATCGACAGTGACTACCTGACCAGCGCAAACTCTTTCCAACAGCTCCTGACTTCCTGCTACAAGCAAGAACATAAGCTCTACTCAGACTCCTTTGTTACTATAGTAACACATGGGAAAAGGACACTTTTACTAGCCACGTGCATCTACCGCATCCACTATAAGTACACCGTTTAATTTCTGAGTAATACTGCTACACATACAGCCAACGCCAAATATGACAAGTCGCCCAACGGTTCTCCGAGGTGACCCGCACTGCAAGAGACTGATGGTCAAATCGCAAAGGCTTTGAGGGGCTGCGCCAAGGACCTGTCCAAACCCGGAACAGGTGCCTACTAGGCGCAAACTCGTGGGCCTTTAACGCTCAAGCTCCAAGAGTCTGTTGCGTGGCAAAACGGATTAACAAATGAAGGCAAATGAGGCTCCTCAAGACTCATGGAGGCTCACATTTCCCTGTCCGGCCTTCATGGCGCCTGACCTCGTAAGCCACAAGCCTGTCATCCTGGAGTCTTGTCAAACGATCTAACTAGGCTGTGATATTTATCTGCATCTCTGTCCTCCACCCCTGCAAAAGAAAACGTCAATGCAAAAGCCGTTGCATAGACCAGCTCAGGAGCGGAAGGCTCCTGGCGAGCCAAAGTGAACGAAGTTGCATCATTGAGTCATTGAACTAACCAAAAACTTGCATCAGGTCTTGGACTCAACATGACTCAACTACCTCTTGCTAAACAATCATCATGTTTCCAAGAAGCACTATCTGTTTGTCTTGAGGCACCTTTAGACCTTTAGACCCTTCTTATCTGTTTCCTTCTTCCCATTGATCTACAGGTCTTGGAAAAAGAATGCTTTCTTTACACAAGGACTATGTGACTATGTCGTCCCAAAAGCTCCTGTGCTACCAAAGCGGTACAAATGGGAAGTTCGCTCACTCGGGACCATGCGCCAGCGCCGCTGGCGCTCAAAGCCCGAATCTCGACCACCTGCATACTATAAGACTTCAAGTTCGGCTTTGTTCCTAGTAGCTTCTTGTTTCTAATAGCTTCTTGCTCCTAGTAGTAAGGCACTTGTTACTACTAGCGTGGCACTTGTTACTACTAGTGATGTGCTACAAATGCTGCTGGTTAGATGTCCCCCGACCAGGAAGAAGTGAACCCCATACCTATAGCTTCTGAGAGACGCTAGGCCCGAATTGCAATATCACTTTGAAGCTCAAAGTAAATCGACAAGTTAAAGGAAAAAGAAGGTGGTGAACGGTGTTGTGAGCAAATCTGGCCCAAATCAGATCCGGCTGAAGGCTAGTATCTGGCAACGGAAGACCAATGGTAGCCGTGTGTGTGGATCAGAGCCTTAAACATGTATTCTACTCTTCATTGAGGCATCTTTAGTTTGACTCTGAATATGCATGGGAAGAATGCAGCAACAAGAATGCAAGCACCCTGTCCGACTCTGAGTATCGATACCCACAACAAGCAGCTGTGCATTCGTAGGCATGCTTTGGCAACTCCTAAACTCATCCTCGAATCAACTGTGTCCACGTCCCTTAGCTTTCCAAGCCGCGTAGTTCTTCTCTGGCTCCAAGTCTTTTACAGCATAATGAAAGTGGCCACCTTCGCTCATCGTCACTGTGTCCACCTCCAAGTCTGCAAGCTTTGAGGCGTCCGGTTGTTTTTCAACCGCTTTGCAATGTAAGCGTCCTGTAGGACTCTGCAAGATGGTTTGACAAACCTGGAAAAAAAATGATAAAACCCTAGCAAGTGACAGAAATTGCTCTCCTTCAAGCCCAATATCCCCACCCAGCCAAGCTTCATTCCTCGTAGTTTTACTCGGGAGAGGGGACACTGGGACACCGGCGGGACCTACGTTGTTGACTTTGTGGCAGCGGAGATCAAGACCATCTACTAACGTTGTTTCTTTCATCTAACTATTGTGTACCTGTCGTGTGGCGAGAACCCAAAACAGAAAGGATGAAGAGCGAAAAAATGAACACAAGGGAATGGCTCCTTTAAATAAGGCCGAGGCCCTTACCTTGTTCTGTTCATCAACTATATATTTGGAACAAGAAGCTACTAGTAGCAAAGGGCATTATCACTAGGAGCAAGGACGCTATTAGTAGCTCCTGGCCTTACTGCTAGTAACAAGAAGCTACTAGGAACAAGTGCATCGCTTCTAGTAACAAGTGCCTTACTAGTAGTAACAAGGACGCTACTAGTAGCTCCTGGTCTTACTAGCTTCTTATTGTTTCTACTAGCTTTTTGTTGCTACTAGTAAGGCACTTGTTACTACTAGCGTGGCACTTGTTACTGGTTGCTATTGATTGTTCAAAGTTGACTTCAGCAACTGAGACGCCTCGACATTCACATGCTTGGACCAAGAGAGGCCACGCCAAGTTGTCCAGGCAGCAGAGCGCAAAGAGTAACCACAGAGGTGCAACTCCTGAAAGAAGCAACAAGGCCACTCCAGAGTAGAGGGAATGTCTGTGCCTTCCTTTGTAGAAAGACATCAAATTGACTGCAGTGGAGCAAAAAAAGCACATATTTGGTGGCTAGGCCTTATTTTGACCTTTTGATCAACTATATACCGTTTGGATCTCTAGTCGATAAAAAATGCTGCGTCAACAGTCCTCAATGGATTTAGTGAGTCCAAGCTTGTCACAAAGGCTTTGAGGAACTCCCGGTCGCAGCTGCACGTGTTCCCAGGACACTACGATCTGATCATGCTGTACCTGGATGAGGAAAAGCATCTGAAACGTGGAACGAGAACCCGCTTCAAGAAGCTACTAGCAACAAGAGCATTGTTATTAGTTATTAGTAACAAGTGCATCGCTATTAGTAGCTCCTTTCAGGTCAATTTCTGTTCAACTCGGGTTCCTCACACAAAAAGATTTGGCACCTCGTCCACTCGTGCCCCAAGAACTGCAGGAGCCACAGGCAAAGTCAAGACCTCCCATTTCTGCTTACGGGGTGAATCAATTCAGCGTAGCCGCGTAGCCAACCAAAGTATGTATGCTAGTCTATGTCATGAATGCAAGCGCAACGCTCCCTCAGAACATGCTAGGAACAAGAAGCTACTAGGAACAAAGGGCATCGCTACTAGGAGCAAGGACGCTACTAGTAGCTGCTGGCCTTACTACTAGGAACCAAAATCTACTAACAAGGGCATTGCTACTAGTAACAAAGGGTATTACTACTAGTAGCATTCTTGCTACTGGGAACGAGAAGCTACTTCTCATGTTGCCCAAACCTCTGCAGATTGCGCTGACCACTCTCCCTGTCCAGCAGCAGAAACTGCTGCAGCCTGCGAGAAACATGCCCATTCTCAGTCATTCCGGTCACTCTTCGCAACACAATAGGCTGAATTCAATAAGTATGTAAAACTCTGCATGAACCTCAAGCTGTGGGAAGAACAGTCTCACTTAGACATCTATTCTGGTTGATTGGAGTCTGAAGGTGGCCGAAGGAAAGAGTAACTGAGCTAATTGAATCTTGTTTCAGCCATGAAACATGTTGGATTATTTCGGCCAATCCCAACAGATTGAAGTCAAGCAAGTCACTCGTATGTGTGACTGTAGCACACGTCACAGCCGATTCCTCTCGTCTGCTTTAGTCATCGCAGTGCTCTTATAGCTCTCTCTCTCTCTCGGTGCTTTGGCCTGACACATATATCTTTGATTTGGCGAAAGCCCGGGCACCACTGCCACAAAGTTGGAGCTCACGCTCCCTGGCGCAGCACTCACAGTCTCAAAATGCACTTGCAGGTCGAAAATTGCCGCTTTTAACCAGTCGAAACAGCGCATGTGTTCAACTCGTATTCGTCGCATGTCGAAATGCATCTCCATCTTCACAGCGCCTTCGCAAATCAAAGCACCCCCATCTGTACCATCACCTTTGTTGCAAATTGTGCCTACTATTGTGCCTGTGTCTGAGGCGAATCCAAAACAAAAACAACTCTGCCTAGAACTGCCTGCGGAATCATTTGATGTTGCTTTGCCGTTCCCTGATAAATGTTCCTGCGACATTGAAGGGAGAAGATCTAGAACCCGTAAATAAATGAGGAAAAACACCTTGGTCACCTGTTGCTTTTGGAAGTCCTTTTGCCAAGTGGCTTGCTCCAGCTTCCCGCCAAGCCTGTGCTGATGAAACCGCCTGGTTGAAGGAGACCCGAAGCGTCCGTGCCTGGTCGTTGAAATTCCAGGTCAGGCAACGAGTAGCGTCCTTGTTCCTATTTACTTATTGTTTCTACTAGCTTCTTGTTACTACTAGTAAGGCACTTGTTACTACTAGCGTGGCACTTGTTCCTAGTAGCTTACTGTAAGGCAACCCTTATTGCGCCATGAATGATGAATGTCACAAATCTTCAAAGAGAAATTCTGAAGCGGTCTTGTTTGTCTCAAAGAATTGTGATGAAACAAGTGCGTTCCAACATATCTCTCTCAAAGCCTGCACCGCTTTGCCGGCTGGGGCGACCTTGCGGTCACGGTCCATGTTCAAGCTTGCGAGCGGGAAAACCCTCCAAAGCCAAGGCGTTGAATCCAAGCTATTTATTAATAAGTCAGCGAGTATTCAGCTTTGTTTTGTTGTGTTTTTGTGTTTCTTGGTTCGGCCGGGAAGATTGAGGAAGGTAAGCTACAAGGCCAAGAAGCGAAGCAAGGAAGGTACGAGAAGCATCTAGAAAGAGGTTAGGAAGCGGCACTACCATTAAAAGGCTTCGGTTCTTCCAGGAAGCTTCCCGTCGGCGTCGCTTCGTATGGTCGACTTATGTCGAAACGTTTCAACAAAGCAAACGAAGCATCCGCCTTGACCATGAACTCATTGATGTTCTCATCATGAACTGCACTGCTCAAGGTGTCATCCAGGACCTGCATGCACGTGATTGCACATGGCACATGCTTGACCAATGGTGAGTTGTCTCTCGGGATTTGAGAAACTCAAAGGATCAAACAAACAGCCCTTTTTTTGGAAAGACTAGTAGTAACAGGTGCCTTACTAGTAGTAACAAGTGCATCGCTACTAGTAACAAGTGCATCGCTACCAGGAACAAGAAGCTACTAGTAACAAGTGCCTTACTAGTAGTAACAATGTTTGCTAATAGAAACTCAAAGGATCGAAGCTTGCAACAGCCGTTTTCTAATAGCTTCTTGTTACTACTAGTAAGGCACCTGTTACTACTAGCGTGGCACTTGTTACTACTAGCTTCTTGTTACTACTAGTAAGGCACTTGTTACTACTAGCGTGGCACTTGTTACTACTAAAGCTTGCAACATACTGCGAGGCAAAATCATCCAGCGTGCAACTGCAAATTTCGCGTGGCACCTCACCATCCCAGCCCAGAACCAGCCTGAGGCTGCCAAAGAGAAAAACACCGCTTAGGTTGCCTTTTGATCTTGTCTTACAACATGTTGTCTCTAACATGGCCGCCATGGCCGAGCCGCGTGTCGTGCGTATGCATCACGGCAATGGGCGCTGCAAGGCGTGGCGCCACGCGCCAAGTGCTGAGCCGTGCGCTCCTCCAGGGCACAACAAAACCTATTTGGACAAATTTCTTAAAACACACATTATCACGCACTCATACTGGTTCTTGGTGTCTTTTGCCATCTCTTGAGAGTTCAAACAAGTTCGCATGCTAAAAACACTGGGTTTAGGCCTCTGTCTCACTAAACTTTTACTTAAACAATAGAGATCTGGATCCTTTTGTGCATCTTTAATTAAGAAATCCGATACGCCAAATCACACATTGTATGTACCCTGAAGTAGTAATTGCTGTACCCATGTACGCATGTTGCGCACGCAAATGCACATTTGTTTAAATATCTCTGCACTGATGCCACAATGGCTTTGGTTGTTGCCAATGCGACCAAGGGGCTGCTCGGACCATGGCCCCTTACCTGCTGCTGTGACCGCAGCGACCTGGACGATATACCTAGGCAACCCATATAGTTGAAAGGCCCAAGTGACTTAAAGTATGATCATTAAACATCATTAAACTTAGACTTAGCGCAAAACCAAAAACAAACAATGATTTTGCCCGTCTGCCCCTGTCAATCTGTACCAAGGCGCTGCCTCTCAGGCTGCAAGGCCTTGAGAGAAAAGCGTATCAGGTCCGTGCTGCCCTTCTCTTCGACCAAGTCGACTTTCTCCTACACAAAATGTTCAACCTGTGAGGGTGTCGTATCAGGTCCGTGCCAAGTCTCCACGTCCAAATTAGGAACAAGTGCATCGCTAGTAGTAACAAGTGCCTTACTAGTAGTAACAAGGAAGCTATTGGAAACAAGTGCCTTACTAGCTTCCTTGTTGCTTCCTTGTTGCTTCCTGTTACTACTAGCGATGCACTTATTCCTAGTAGCGAACATGTCGTATCAGGTCCGTGCCAAGTCTCCACGCGTGGCACTTGTTACTACTAGTAGCGTGGCACTTGTTACTAATAGCATCCCATTCAAGTCTCCACGTCCAAATCCAAGTCTCCACGATGATCCAGGCCCCATGAGGTGCATAGCCATAGCGCGAGCCTTGGCGCATTTTTTCCAACGGAGAACTTGTAAGAACTTTCCTCCTGACGAAGGAGACACAGAAGCCTAGGTAGTAGTGGTAGTGGGAGTAGTAGTAGTAGTAGGAGTAGCAGTAGCAGTAGTAGTAGTAGTAGCAGCTAGTAGTAGCTAGTAGTAATAGCTAGTAGGTAGTAGGTAGCACTACTACGACTACAACTGCAACTGCAACAACAACAACAACAACTACTACTACTACTACGACTACTACTGCTACTGCTACTGACACTGCCACTGCCAGTGCCACTACCACTACCACTACGACTACTACTACTACTACTACTACAATTACAACAACGACTACTACTAATACTACAATTACAACAACGACTACTACTACTACTACAATTACAATTACAACTACAACAACTACTACTACAATTACAATTACAACTACAACAACTACTACTATTACTACTACAACAATTACTACTAACTACTACTAGTCGGAATGCAAGCTCCGCTCCTGCTTCAAACACTGTTTCTGCCATCGGGCCTTGAAGGCTTTGGCACAGTGACGGGCCCCCCAACAAAATCCCAGCGGCAAAAAAGAGTGACGCTCGACATAAAATGAGGGTGTATTTTTCTTTGGAGGCCTGCGTAAAGCGCGGAGCGACGGGGAGAGAAATCGCGGCGCGTCGGTACAATCGGTCGATACGCCTTCAGAGAGCAAGCGCCATACATAAATCAGAAGCCAAATGCGGTAGCTGTGACATTTTCTGAAAACATATGCATTCCTGGAAAAGTACGCTTTGGATCTCCAGGCTGTTGTTGCAACGGTTCCGCAAGAGGACCCCTGCTTTCAAGCGTTGGTGGTGGTGGTTGTGGTAGCGGTGGCGGTGGCGGTGACGGTGGCGGTGGGGGTGCTTATGGTTGTGGTGGTTGTGGTTGTGGTCAGAAATGAAGGCCAAGCAGTTTTTAGAGGATGTACTGCGATCACGAGTGTTCCAAAGGCGCCGAGGCGCTGGGCCCGGCACCTGTCAAGTCATGGAAAGAAGGTGGTTGTTGGGCGTGCTATATTATGAGTTTGTTATCAACTGCACTCAATCATTGTGTTTGTGGTTGCGTACTGTGTGTGTTGTGTATTTGTGGTTGTGTGTTTGTGGTTGCTGTTGAGATCCCAGACTGCCCACTGCCATCTGGCGCTTGCTGTTAAGGTCGAGCGGGGCGGAGTAAGAGTCGAGTGGAGTTGCGGCACCACACTTAAACATCTAACAACCCTCACCTGACAGGTGGGGAAAAAAAACCAGATCGAACACCAGTGGATTTGTGCTCCCCTGGAGTGTATTCAATTTGATGATCAGGCCGTGCCCCAGGTAGTTCTAACTGATCCCGTTCGAGTTCGAGTTCGATGCGCGAGATTGCGTGGATCGAGCGAGAGGGGGGTGGACCAGTTCGAGTTCGAGTTCGAGATCGAGTTCGGATCGACACACAATTATCGAGCCGGGGGGGGTGGACCGGTTCGAGTTCGAGTTCGAGTTCGGATCGACAACACAATTATCGAGCCGGGGGGGGTGGACCGGTTCGAGTTCGAGTTCGGGTTCGGATCGGCGACTAAGAGACTTATAAGGGGGGTGGACCAGTTCGAGTTCGAGTTCGGATCCACAACAACAGCAACGAGAACCAACAGCAACGACAACAACCACAACCGCAATCGCCACGACCCACAACACAGAAGAAGAACAGGAACCGACCAAGCTAGCAACAAAGCAATAAAGTATCCGCGCTGCGCAGTCTCATCTTTGCAGCCAACACTTGTTTTATTAGGATCTGGTGTGCTGCTGGGGGGGGCGCTGCGCCCCCCCCC